GAACCAGGACTTCATGCACTGTCAATTAGTATGTTTTGACTTTGGGGAACATGATGTGTTACAGCATCTCTAGTCAATATATTGTGACTGTAAGAGTTCAGGCTATGCTATGTCTTTGTAAACAGTTACATTTTTGTGCATGAGGAAACAATTGTATTTTTATACACTGTATTTATATAACATGAGGAAAGTTATACCTGAGGAAAATTGTAAATGAGGCAAATGAGGGGCCAAGTCCCATTTTCAATATTACTTCCAGTGCAGTTAGGAACCTGGGGCTCATTAACCCTCAAAAGAATCTAGTCTTCCAAGTGAGTAAAAGCTATTGAAAATTTTCTCTCGGTCTCAAATCTGTGGAAGGTCTGAGATGTATTTTTTGAAGTAGTAATAAGTGGGAAGAAAGTCAGAATTTTCATTCTTCATAGATGATACATTTGCAGTTATACAGGGTTGACCCTTCTTATCTAATAGGTGAAGACAGAACAAATTTACTCCTAACAAACCTAGAGAAAGATTCTTTGTGACTTTTCTTCCTATATGTTTTAAATCAGGGCTTCCAGCTTTGCCTGATTTTCAACACTTTTTCAAATTTCGTATTTGGCAGGATTTGAGGGAACATCTGGAGTCTATTTTCTGGTTTTACTGTGGTACAGAACATACAGTATGCTTCATGAAGTATGTTTATCTTACAGTTATTGATATATGCAGAAGTCAAATGAAAAGGAATGGGTGATTGAGTTGATATTTGATGAATCTGCGTCTGTGCATGGAACAGTCTTTGATATAGTTCTCCTATTTCTAAAGAGACGCCAACAGAAATCTTCTACAAGTGAAATTCCAGAAATTTTGTGTGTGTGTGTGTGTATTCATGCATTAAGACGCTTTGGGGATTCAAATACAAAGGAATTGTTTTAGGAAATGTAGTATTTGTGTTCACATATGTGTATATATGTGTGTGTGTGTGTGTGTGGACTTTTGCGCATATATACATTCGCGTGCACACACACACACACACACACACATGCTTAAAAGGTGCCCAGCATACTACCTGCACACAATTTGAGAAGAAAGTAGGTGACATGTTTTAAGCTATTCCTTATTGCAGTGGAGTAAGGATAAACAAATAAAGGGGGTAAAGGGATAGGCAAGTTTATTTGGAGGCTTGGGATGCAAATATGCATAAATGATTTAAGCCGTATTTAGGAACACCAATCCTAATTTCAAGAGTATGCATCCCTTATGTACTTACGGAAACTTTATTATTGGTAAAAAAAACTATTCCAAAAAGAAAGAAAGAAAAAGCCCCATACTGGGACAGAGGATGCAATTATAATGTGATTTAATTTTTTTTTCACTTGCAATTCTGGATAAATAATAATCCCACATGAAACCAAGATTTTATAAACCAAGATTTTAATACACCAATTAAGAATGCTTGGCAATTTTGTTTCTCATAGTTTCTGCAGAGATTTTCTTTTTTTGTGGCCAATTTTAGCAATTTTTTCAGTCTTACTAATTTTCAGACAAAACGCCATATATTTGCATTTGTCAGAACCTATTCTTTCTCAATGTTTAGTTATTTCCCTGTAATATGAACCTACATTTTTTCTGTGACACTCTTAACTTTGCTTTCAGTAATGACAAACAGAAAAATCCAATTAATATATTCTGAGATTGCTTGGGAATTTTTGTGCTTAGCCACTTCTTGTGCTTTTATTTTTGATCTGTCTGCTCCTGCTGTTTGCTCGCAGGATATAATTTAGTTGTTGGGTTTTTCTGGCCTTGTCTTGCCGACTCATGAAATTGTCTAGATGAATTCAGTTCTCACTTCTTTTAAGTTTGTCCTCTGTTTTGGATCTGACAGCAGGATTCACTTAGTTCTTCTCTTCGGCTTTATTGCCCTGTGTTTCTTCCAGGCAAACAAAGTTACATTAATATTTTGTTTCTCAAGTATATGTAACTTTGGTGCTGCTCTTTGCATATAAATCTTTGCCTCTAGATACACTCTTGCCCCTGTGATGAAGTGCGAGTTCTGTCCATATTAAGTCTCCTTGAACTCTGTAAATCAATTTGATACTCGTATTAGGCTAGTATTGGATTGTTATCGCTGCTTCTTAATTTGTTGTGAGACCTTTTGTACTGTTAGTCGCTTCAGAAGTTTTTCTGTTGGCAGCTACCTTGGTACGTAGAGTGGCACGACGTACTGTTTCATTAGTCCATTTAGACTATTCGTAGAGCTTAGTTATGCATGTTTTCCCTTTTTGGGGCAAATATGATACTCTTCTGCTTTTTGCCATTTGTATCTTTTTCTTTTTCTTGGACTTTCTGATGGATACAGCTATACGCGGTGGTTCCCCCCCCCCCCCCCCCCCCACCCCCCCAACGAGGAAAACAGTCGTCTCTCACGTGCTGCACTGCCTGACTGTACAGTGCCGGCGTTGAAGGGCAGTTCAGCACGTGGGCAGGACAGCTGAGCTTAAATCTTCATAGGCACTTCTGCATTGATCTCTGATTGCGGCATTAAGCCGGCAGGGAAGTAAAGACCACGTGATGATCTCAAATTTTGCTTAGGCCTCAATCTGAAAATTTCTTACGAGCAAGTTATGGCCGATTAGCTGTAATTAAGTGTGTATTTCTGTGGTGGTCAAAGCAGCAGAGAGGCGTTGTCCTTTCCTCCAGAAAATTGGAGAGAATAATAAGGAGTCAAGAAAGGTATTTGATATCGGAAGTTGAATAGATCGATGCCTGGATTACTCTGTAACGTTATGCGCATTGCCAGTTATCCTCAATTGAGTTGTTAGCAGTTTGCTAACAAATTAGCTGCTGAGTTTTGAACCTGTTGACCTCTCTGCTTACACTCAGCTAATAGAAGATGTCAGTGTCGAGGAGACGTGGCTCAGAGTAAATATGGCTCCGTTGTATGCTAAAAAGCATTTTAGGGTACGTATCCATAGAGAGCTTTCCAATATGTTGAAAGGGGATTTTTCATTATGTTACCGGATCTTCTTTGTTGCTCCATAAATCAAGAATATACGTGATTCCTCACTTTTCTGTCTGTCCACCTTGACACATATGGATTTGAGTGTTTTGAGGTCCTCTCTCCACTTGAGTAGAGCTGCATTTGTAGCGCTGCTTTCCGTGTAGCGAAAAGGAGTTGTCTTTGTTTCTTATATTTTAATTCCTCCCAGACTATTTCTTCTTTCACCTCCTGGACTCAGCTTGGCAAGCTATGACTCTGTCACAATCCTACACTGGCTAGAAAGTTAGTGTATCTGAGCAGGAACAGCATGAGACCTCTTTTTTTTTTTTTTTTAATTGTCTATCCAAAAGGATTTAAAAACCTCTCAGTACTATTAATGTGAAAATATTTCTGAAATGTTAACGATATCTTTGAAGATACTGATTTTTAATGTTTGTCCATCTGTCTTTGTTGCAGACTGTGCAATTGAAAAGTAGTACATACCAAAATAAAGGGTTTGCATCCCTTATAATTACATATTTCATCTGTTGGAAGTAATATGAAAGAGGTGAATGAAACAGTCTGGCCACTTTCAGCAATGCTTTTTGTCGTCTTTAGTCTCTCTAGCATCTTGCTGAATGATTGCCAGGTCCTTTTATCATAATGTATCGGGTTTAGATGACTAGTCATCAACATGCGTATCTATTTGAAATCATTTTTTGACTGAAGTTCCCCATACCTCCAGTATCTTTTTTTTTTTTGTAATCACTTTGAGGTTTGACCTGTACAAAAAGTGCAAGATAGTCAGATCTTGCAAAAAGGTAGTGCTGATATGGCTTTACACATCCTATAAATATTGCATATCCTATATTGCTTAAACATTTTTTGTCTTTTCATAGCATTTAGGGCAGAAATAGACCGTTATGGACTTGTATACTACCTGCCTGCATGACTCAGGCCACGGAATTTCACTCATTTCTATATTAAGCCCACAGCTGCTTCTGCAACACCAGCTTTTCTAGAGTAATAATAGTAATCACTTTGAGCTAATTAGAAGTTAGGGTAGCTCAACCGTAGCAGCTGGAGAGGCTGAACCCAAGTGTTGGATCTCCTCCTCCCCACTCAAGTCTCACGGCAGAAGCTGCTCCCTGGCCTGGCGGTGGCAGGTACCTGT